TGTGCAACAGAATGTCATTGTGTACCAGGTGGTTAAATGCACTGATTCTGGGGACAGGCTGCCTAGGATCTAGCTGTGTGTCCTAGAGCAATTTACTTATCCTTTCTGTACCTAAGTTTTCTCAGCTATGAGATGAGTACCCGCCTTTAAGAAAGTTATGTGAGTTGTTGAGAATAATGTCTGGCAAAGAGTAGGCAATGTACAAGTATTAGCTATGTGGGGAACTAACTCAGACATGATACGAATACACACCACTTATTTTTCTTTTTTTAATGAGATTAAAAAAAATTTTGTACGTGCTTTGGGCTATTGAATTAAAAAAACAGATGAGTAAGTGGGCAAGTGAAGGCAGTGGATTTATGGAAAGAACTAAAGGTCATCTATAATTATGGCTATACTTCGCTAGTCCTATCTAATAAAAGAGTGATATGCAAATTGATCACCCCAGCACACAAGATGGCTGCCCTCATGTGGACACAAGATGGCCAGCAGGGGAGGGAAGTTGTGGGCGATCAGTCCAGCAGGGGAAGGCAGTTGGGAGGGACCAGGCCTGCAAGGGAGAGCAGTTGGGGATGCTCAGGCCTGCAGGGGAAGTCAATTAGGGGTGACTGGGCCAGCAGAAGAGGGCAGTTGGGAGCAACCAGGCCAGCAGAGGAGGGCAGTTAGGGATGACCAGGCCTGCAGGGGAGGGCAGTTGTGGGGGGGGGCAAGACTGTAGGGGAGGGCAGTTGGGGGCGACCAGGCCAGCAGGAGAAGGCAGTTAGGGGTGACCAAGTCGGCAGCAGAGGGGAGTTAGGGGGAATTGGGCTGGCAGGGGAGCAGTTAGGCATGGATCAAGCTGGCAAGGGAGTGATTAGAGTGTGATCAGGCTGGCAGGCAGAAGCAGTTAGAGGCATTCATGCAAGCAGGAAGGCAGGCAAGCGGTTGGGAGCCAGCAGTCCTGGATTGTGAGAGGGATGTTTACAAGTCTTCCCTACCACTTGAATATTTATATCCCTTGAGGGGTCCCAGATTAGAGAGGGTGCAGGTTGGGCTGAGGGACATCCCCCCACCCCTGTGTACAAATCCCATGCACTGGGCCTCTAGTTAGTAATAAAAACCACTGTGGGTCATAGTTTTATTACTAACTAGCCTGAAATTCTGATGTTGGGTAGCTCACTATGCATCAAAAGAGGTGACTTTTGTTGAATAGAATTCATTGTTAGAAAATTCTTTCTTTTGCTGATATGAATTTTACTTCATCTATTGCTTTATATTGGCCTAGTTATTTCCTTTAGATGAATCTATATATATAAAAGCCAAGCAAACAGAATACAGGAACTATTGAAGTGACTGGTTGCTTTGATGGGCACTGCGGCCCCAATTGGCCCCGCCTTCCCTTTGCCCCCTGATTGGCTAGCCAACCTCCCTCTTGGCCAGCCCCGCCCTGATCAGCACCCCACACCCCTATCAGGGGAAGGGCCAGCAGGACCCAACCCATGCAAGAATTCATGCACCAGGCCTCTAGGGTAGAATAAATAGAGGAAAATAGATTAGTTGGTTGTTTTGCTTCATCAGCATTTTCTTCAGCTTAAATGATTCTGGTATCTCTGGTCCTTCTGCATATGACATGGCTTTGAACCCTTTCTCATTCTCCATCCTTCTCTGGGTATAATTTTGGGTATTTCTCATTCTCCATCCTTCTCTGGGTATAATTTTGGGTATTAAACTGCAAGATTTGAGCTAGTAACTGACCACATTGCACTTCATCTGCCAATGAAAGCACACAATAAAAAGCATACAATAAAATGCAAAAATTACTTGCATTTTAGGCCAGCTGTATCATTGATCTATAATATATTGTGTTTCTCATTAACTTTAGTGTCATTTTTCTCAAACGGAATGATTAAAATACTAAAGGATGATCATTAACAAATCTTTCTTGACACAAGTAATTTAGATAAAATTACTAAAAAGAATCTAAAGTATTTTGCTTAGTGGTTGTGTCATGGTTCGATTCCTGGTCAGGGCACATGCCTGAGTTGTGAGCTAGATCTCCAATGTGGAGAGTGGAGGAGGCAGCCAATCAGTGATTCTCTCTCATCATTGATGTTTCTCTTTCTTCCTCTCTGAAAACAATAAAAATAAGTAAATAAAAATAAATAAAATATTTTGCTTTAATGAGAACAAAAGTATACTAGTCTTCATGCTAAATATAAAATTCTTGTCAATGTTGACTTTATTTTCAATTAATGTGAAAACCTAAACAAATAATTCTAAGATCATTTCAGTGACATTGCGATTAGTATTGTTAGTATAATCTGTACAGGTAATATAATATCTTGAGTGAGGTTAGCTTTATGGCCTGAAAAATGTTTCTTTTAGGAATTATGTTTACTCTAGCTGGGTAATTGCAACCTTGGTTCCTTATATTAGAAATCCCTGTTCCAGTTTATCCATTTGTTATGATGGATAACTGTTACCCATTTTGTTGATTTCCCAATGTAAACAAATTATTTATTTTCAGTTTTCCTAAATTCGTTTATTTAAATAACCTCATCATTTTGATTTGAAAAAGTCTTTTGAATCTTCTTTGGACTTAATTTGTATTAATGTCTTATCTCTACCTCTGAGAAACTTTGGATTCTAGGGCCAGTCTGTGGACTGGCTTATTCCTTCACTTCCTTCTGTGGATGGAGTGGCCGGCCTGGGGTACAACAGCTTTTATTTATGTACTTCTGTTTTTCCTCCCACCCATCTTTCTACATAGCTGCCAGAGGGTCATGTAAAAATGTAAAGCATATTCTATCATTCCCCTGCTCATCATGTTTCAAAAATTTCCCCATGCACTCAGAGTAGATCCACACCCTGTCCCGTGGCCTATGGGGGCCCAGGTGAGCTGCCTCTGCCTGTCTTTCCAACCTATTCCTTTTAGCCTCACTGATCACTCAGCCTTTAATAGCACTTCAGCTTATAATCCTATGTAGTTTGCTTTTGTTTACTTATTACTTGTTTCTCCCATTAGATAGATGCTTGATGAAAGCAGATAAGGTGTTTTCACTCACTGATTTAAAACTTAATGATCAACAAAACGTGCTGGGGATAGATGCTCATGTATTTATTGTTCTTAAAATCCAATGATTCCTCCTACTTTCAGGTATGAGTCCAGCAGTTCCTTCCCATGGCAGTGTTTACAAGTCCTACCTACCACTTGAATATTTATATCAAAATGGCTGTGTGCTAACATTTTTTTAATACTTACTTTTGGTTAGTCTCAAATTATAGTGCCATATGAAGGCTGGTTAAGTTCCAGGTATATTAGTTTCTGTTGCATTCTTTAGTTTATTTCTAGAAAGTGATTACAGAGTGTTCCCACTGATTAGTTTGAATATGACCTTTTAGCCTTGGCCTATATGTATTATAAAATATGATACTAGGCTAAGATTTTTTGAAATTGTTGATGTTTTATTTGTTGTATAAGTATGCCAGAAAGTTATTACTTTAAATGATATCAATATTGGTGTCTATCAACTGAAATAGAAGAATCTTTCTGAAAATTTGGTTTAATACTATAGCCATGATTCTACCCAGAAACAGTAAATTATTCATTTTTTTGGTCAAGTCACTGTAGTACTACAATATTTAGTGATTTACCAGATTGCATAAAGAATTAGAGCATTTGCCAAAAGGAGCCATTTAGTCCCCTCTCAACTATGGTTTATCTCTGATGAAGTATACATGGTAGAAGATGTTCATCCTATTCTCTCTCTTCAGATTAAGTTTAGAAAATTGACTTATTTTTGTTTTACCATTTCCCCTTTTATTTTTATATCAGACAGTAACAGTGAGGCTGAAGCTCTATGGAGGTACTTGGTCTGTATACTGAAGCAGTTCCAGGGGCTGAACTGTTTCTGGCAAAGTTTCTTTTAAAAATATTTTTATTGCTTGAGAGAGAGGGAGAGAGAGAGAGAGAGAGAGAGAGAGAGAGAGAGAGAGAGAGAGAGAGAGAGAGAGAGAGAGATGAGAGGCATGTGCCCTGGCCAGGAATTGAACTGGCAACCTTTTGGTGCAAAGGACGTTGCCCAATCAATGGAAACACACCAGTTAGGCTGAGCATATTTCACTTAAAGTTCTTCACAGTTCAGTCAATCTTGGCAGAACCCCATAGAAACTATAACATACAATATAATACTTTTAAAAAGCCACCATATTATTAGATAAAAAATTTGGGTAGGTATATTGCTTTAGTGGTCTTAATAGTACTATTTATAAAAGGTTCTTTTACCATTGTCATTACAGTGACTTTATGATGTGGCCCAGGGACTTTACTAGGAAGAAACTGAATCCTGAGGGAGTACTTACAGCATCAGGGAAAAATGGCTTTGTGAGATGAAATTCAGGCCAGTTCTTTTGGCCATACACAACCCTCTCTTAAGCTTTAAGCTAGCTCAGCCAGGCATGAAGTGGTCTGATGCTGTGGAAAAGACACGTGTTTGAGGAGTCAGGAAGACCTGAGCTAAAATCTCTACTCTGACATTTAATAATTGTGAACCTGATTAAATTACTTAATCTTTTTGAGTCCTAGTTCATCTGTAAAAATAAGGATAGTAATACCTACCTTGTAGTTGCATTAAATGAGGTAATATATATGAGATAACTTGGCATATAGTAGGTTTTCAGTAAATGAATTTTCTTTCTTCCTCTGTGTTAGTATTCTCAACATTTTCTGCTGGATATCTCCTGTAGTCACTAATTCAGGGGTATTTTGAAAGGATCATTTTAGTCTTACCTATAGCTCTCCCCCCAAGAATATAAATTTAAAGAAATGTGTAGTAAAGGAGGCCAGTTCATCTGTTTCTAATGAATTAAAAAGGAGAGGATGGCATATGGGTAATAAGAAAACACTATCTTAAAATAACCAAAAGTTATTTTAAAATGGTTGTTATACTTTTTATAGCTTAATGATGCCAGTTAAAATTATGTTGTTATTGACCAGTACTTTTTTTTATGTCTGTCTCCAGGGAAGAAAAAATATGCAAGATGGTGTGAGTGATGGTGAAATTCCAAAATTTGATGCTGCTGGATATGATAAAGATCTGGTAGAAGCCCTTGAGAGAGATATTGTGTCCAGGAATCTTAGCATTCATTGGTTAGTGTTTTCAGTTCTTGAGTTAAAGTAGTGGAGAAGACAAGTTATAGGGTTGGTTTGGTGTGAATCTTCTCTTTTAACTTTTAATCTTCTGTTTATGATGTCATCCATAATATGACTATATAGAATTGACAGAACAGTCCTTTTTTCAGACTATAACCAAGACACTTTAACATGTTAATTTGATGATATAACTGAGAGATTGTTAATTGAATAACATGTTTTAATTAATAATTGGAATGTTATCTGATCACTGGCCAAATTTTATGCAGTAAGAATTAGAATAATATTCTTTTTTTAAAATATATTTTTTATTGATTTTGTACAGAGAAGAAGGGAGAGAGATAGAGAGTTAGAAACATCGATGGGAAAGAGTCATCGATCAGCTGCCTCTTGCACACCCCTTACTGAGGATATGCCCGCAACCAAGATACGTGCCCTTGACCGGAATCAAACCCGGGACCCTTCAGTCCCCAAGCCGATGCTCTATCCATTGAGCCAAACCAGTTTCTGCTAGAATAATGTTCTTAATATAAGAATCTATCTATCTATCTATCTATCTATCTATCTATCTATCTATCTATTTATTTATATATTTATATATTTATATATTTATATATTTATATATATATATAAAAGACTAAGTGACCAAACGACTTTGCAACCAGTCGGACCAGTCACTATGACATGTACTGACCACCAGGGGCCAGATGCTTAATGTCAGTGAGCTCCTTCAGCCAACCTCCCATGCCCAGCCAATCTCACACAGCCCCTCCCCTCAGCTGGCTGGCCCCGATGGCCCCCATCGAGTCTGCCAGTCAAACTCCCGCAGTTCCTCACCCTGGCTGGCTGGCCAACCTCCCAAGGCCCCTATCAACCCTGAGTGATGACCAGGCTGAGGGACCCCACCTTTACACGAATTCATGCACTGACCTCCAGCAATGTCATAAGTTAAAAAAAAAAAAGAATTAGTAATTGATCATTAATCAAAATCATCTTTAAATAAACATGAAACTTTGCTGTTCCTACAAAGGGATGACATAGCAGATTTGGAAGAAGCTAAGAAGTTGCTGAGGGAAGCTGTTGTTCTTCCCATGTGGATGCCTGACTTCTTCAAAGGGATTAGAAGGCCCTGGAAGGTGAGAATTTATTAAAATGACATGGGTGTGAAAATGCTGCTTGCATGATAATGAAAGATAGCATTGTAGTTTCTAGTGTTTATTAACTCAGTTTGTAAAGGATGGGAGAAGTTTGTATTTTTTCCCTATTTCCTGGATTTGAATCTGTAGTTGTGTAACCTCTGCATGGCAGGAGAGGAGCTTGGAGTGTGGAAACTATAGTCTTTAGTTATGTCACTTTACTCAGGGTTGCTCAGCTAGAGATTAGTTTTAAGGATTTTCTAGATGTAAATAAGAAGTTAACAAGCAAAGTAAACAGTACTCATACATACAAGTAGTCTTTTATAAGTAGTTTGAATAGCTTTCTAAAGGTTGGCATATTTTTCACTAATTATTTTGATCACTTCATCTCAGATATTATCAGAATGTGTGTTTCTTTTATTATTATTTTTAATCCTCACTCAGGGATTCCCCCCCCCCCCCCATTGACTTTTTAGAGAGAAGGGAGCGGGGAGAGAAATATCGATGTGAGAAAGATACATTGATTAGTTGCCTCCTAGATGTGCCCCAACCAGGGCCGATCCTGCAATCGATATATGTGCTCTTGACCCAGGATCAAACCCGTGACCCTTTGGTCCACAGGCCAACCCTCTAACCACTGAGCCAAACCAGCCAGGATTGTGTGTTTCCTTTCAGCTTGCACTCTGCTTTAGAATTTAAAGCCTGCCTAGAACTAGTTCCTCCTAAGTCTAGTGTTTTCCTGTTAACATATTGAAAAACCCTTCCATTAGCTGCAGTCTGAAACATAGGTCTTAACATAGGCAAAGCCTTTCTTTATTCTTACTGGTAGAGTGCAGTAAAAGAGTTGTCTTTCTTTGCCCTCCTGAATTAGCTGAGAAGGTCTGTTTCTTTTCTCAATCCTTTCTTCTGTTTGTTTACACAAGTAGCTGGGGCACTATGACATTTTGATTGCTTCTCACAACTTAAATACTTCTATAGACACAGATTTACCTAATTTGTGGAACATATTACCATACATTTTCCCTTTATTATAATTCCTAAAACAATATTTAAAAGAGAAAACAAGGTCTTAAAACAGGTATTTAAAAGAGTTTTAAAGTAACTGCAACCTACCTTCATAAGGAGACCTGTAAGTTTTCAGCAGAAGGGTGATTTGCAAATGTGAAAGATTACTGTGGCAGCAGTATGGAAGATAGATTGTAGATTGCAGATGGCATAGATTGCATATAGATGAGGAGTCTGATCAGTAGGCTATTGCAGTAGTCTAGCCAAATGATGAGGACCTGCATTAAGGCATGTGTTATTTGGCTAGTGAACAAATGGGTGGGTTTATGCGAGATGTTTAAGAGGTCTGTGATAACATTATGGCTGATAGTTTATAGGACCAAGGGAGAGGGGCACGTTTTATGACTTGCCAATTCCAGGCTTGAATTGAAGGAGCATGCAGTTACTTCTGACACCCACTATCCAAATTGGTCCAAACTTAACAAGTTAAGGGCAGTTTTCCACAAGACTGCCCTACTTAGGATGTTGCTGCAAACTTGAGGGTCCTCAGGTCACCCTCACTTCTGACAAGCTGGCTATAAATGTTGGGCTTCTCACTACCTCTTCAGGTTCAATAGTTCTCTAGAAAGACTCACAGAATTTAGGAAAGCATTATACTTAAGATTACATCTTTAATATAGCAAAAGGAAGTTATTCAGAGTTAGCCAAGGGAAGAAATACATAGGGCAAGATTTGGGACTCTGCTGAAAGTAAAGCTTCTATGTTCTCTCCCTGTGGAATTAGGATGCTTTACCCTCATAGCATGTGGATGTGTGACAATGCATAGAGTGTTTCCAGCAGGGAAGCTCACACAGGATTCAGTGTCCAGTTTTTATTGGGGTTTCATTACATGGTCATGATAGATTAAATCATTGTCCATATGTCTCATCTCCAGGCCTACCTTCCTCTATCCAGTACCCCAACCCTCTAAATCACATGGTTGTTGTTTTTTTAGCTAGCCCAGAACCCATCCTGAGTCATCTATTGTAATTAGCATAAACTATATAGGGGCCCACCATGAGCCACCTCATTACCGTATTTTCCGGCGTATAAGACGACCCCCTAATTTTACAGTTAAAACATAGGTTTAGGCCTATAGTCGCTGTATAAGACTACCCCCCACTTCCGAGGCAACACCAGTTCTTTTTTTAATTAAATTTTAATGAATGATATTTTTCGAACATACCGTAATATACTGTACATTGATACCATAAATGGAAGGCCTCTTCACAAATGGCAATGCCATGAACTTGACCGAGAAACAAGAAATCCAAAAGAGAACATTAACAATGATGGCATCATCTGGAAAGAAAATTACATGAAGAACTTGCAGAAAATGCTTGTTTGTGACTGACTGGGATGATAAGGTTTTTTAGGCAGAGGAGCATTGTGAGCTTAAAATCCTTCAAAATCCTCATCATGTTCTTCTTCTGATATCATAAGTTCATCAATGACCTCTTGTGATACATTTGTAAGACAGTCATCATATGGATCAAATTCCGAATCAGATGGTGTCGCTTCAGCTTCGGCTTCCCCTTCATCTTGCCACAAGAAGTCATCCTCCATACCATCCAAAGAATTTGATATGCCACACTTCTTGAAAGACCCGATTACTGTTTCTTCAGTAATATCATTCCAGGCTTTTATGACAAAGTTACACAAAACATCCAATTGTGGCTCACACATGTTTCCTCCTTTTGTGAATAACTTTTCGCCGCTAACCATCCACTCATTCCACTGTTCTCTAATGCGATCTTTAAATGGCTTGTTTAGGCACACATCCAGTGGCTGTACCAATGATGTCAATCCTCCAGGAATAACTGCCACATCTGTGTTTATTCTTGCCAGCCTGTTCTTTGTGTTGGTAGTTAAATGAGCCCTGAACATATCCCACACCAGTAGGCTACGTTCTTGACGAAGTCCACCTGGTCGCCTACTCCATACATTATCAAGCCATAGCTTTACCTCTTCATCCATCCATCCTTTTTCATTCACATGTACAAAAACTCCAACAGGGAACTTGATTTTCGGCATTGTTTTTCTTTTAAAAATAATCATTGGTTTTAGTTTCGCACCATCAGCTGTACATGCTAGTAAAACTGGACTTCTCATGTCCTGTTGTTTTATTTATCACTGTTTTTGCACCTTTTGGATTAACAGTTTTATTTCCAACCATATCGAAATTCATAGGAGTTTCATCCATATTTCCGATCTGACTTAATGCATAGCCATGTTTCTTGCACTGTTGTATTACATATTGATGGAAAAGACTTACTTTGCTGTCAAGATCTGCAGGTAATTTTTGTGCAATTTTGGTCTTTTGCCTCAGTACCAGATTGTGCCTTTCCAAGAACCTAGTACTCCAGAATGTAGTGGCCTTAAATCCTTTGCTGTTATCTGGGTTAGATTTGGCCCACTAAAGTGCAAACATATGTATTTTGTTTCGTGTCACTACATAACCATTTTGACGATGCTCAAGAACCATGTCTGCTACATGCTTTTCGAGTTCTGGTCAAAAAGGGGTGCCTATTCTTAATGCACACTTATTCCTTGGCATACTCTTTAAAGCATCTTCATTTGCTTTCCAGTCTCGGACCATCTTTTCTGTTACTCCTTATTGTCTTGCCGCAGCACAGTTATTGTGTTCCTTGGCAAAGTTTACAACTTTCAGTTTGAAACTGGCTTCAAATTTCCTTCTTCTTGCTGGAGCCATGATGGGTTCTTTTCTACCCGCCATTTGTTATACACCCACTAATCTTTTAGGCCGAGGTTATACAGTACTGTAGCTTCAGTTACACACAGAATGTTTATTACAGTACTTTTTAACTCACTGTATGTGTCCTGATACTGCAGCTTTGGCTACACAGAACATTCCTGTGCTGCAACTGTATGTACCACAGTGAGCCAATCACAAAAAGCAAAGGTTCAAAGGTTATAATATACCGCCTCTCTGACTCTGGCCAATCTGAGCAGGCTTTTTACTAGAACACAGTGTAGCTTCGGGTACAGAACATGTATAATTTACATGCATAAAAAGCCTGCTTGGATTGGCTGAGTTAGAGAGGCGGTCTGAGCAGCCTTGCAGTGATTGGTGCAGGATCGAGTTGGAAAATTCGTTTAGTGGCTTATCGAGACGTTTTTCAGGATATACTCGGCGTATAAGACGACCCCCGATTTTCAGTTGACTTTTTTTTGTTTCAAAAGTTGTCTTATACGCCGGAAAATACAGAAGCATAAAATTTCAGGGCTCAACGTGGATAACAAAGACACTCCTGTCAGTTGGGAAATTCCAAGAATTTAGAGTCTTCCTCCCAGGAATTGGGGTAAAAGGCCAGTTAAATTATTTATTATATAGGGTACAATGAAATGATGTTGGAAATTGAGAAAAGGAACAGATTTAAATAGGAACAAAATATGTTTAGGTAATTACTCATCAGGTAATTGGAAATAGAGGTCTGGAGCTTAGAATAGAGTGAGTTAAAATTGTAAGATATAAGCGGTGGTTTATAATATGCATGTGGATGAAATTGTTGTAGGAGTTTATAAAAGAACACAAAAGATATGGGATTGCTTTGGGAATGTGAACATGAAGAGGAGATCTGAAGACACTGAAGACAGTCTTGATGGAGAAGTATTAGGAAAGAGCAGGGTCCTAGAACCAACCCAGAAAAGATGGGTTTCAGGAAGGGGGGAATGAATACCAAGTATCTGCAACATTGAGGTCAGAGAGAAAGAACACGTGAGTTGAAAAGTGACTGGTGGGTTAGTAAATTAGGTATTTTTAGTGAAGTAGTGGAGGCAAAAGCCAGATTGTAGCTCATGAAGAAGCAGTAGTATGCTTAAGCCATTTCTTTAAGAAGGCTAGCTGAGAGGGAAGGAGAGGTACACAGTAGCTAGAGGATTTGAATATTAAGCAAATGATTATTTAAAAAATGGGTCAGATTTAAATATGTTTATATAGTCAGGGGAAAGAGCCAATAGAGGAGGAAATACAGGAAATAGATGGAGTAATCAAAAGAGAAATATCATGATGAGTTCAGAAATATAAATATTGTACCACAGCTAATGTTAGAAAAGGGAGGGGCCATTAGAAAGAGAAATATGAACTTGGTTATAGCTGTTCCTGTACCTTTAGTTGTTTTGGTAGTTTTCAAAATAGCAATCTCATGCGCAGTTAAAGGCTCCTTGCGAAGCACAAAGTTTTCAATAAAACTAGTGTTTTAAATCCTGGTGATCCCTGGTTGCTCTGGGTATCAAGATTCTACAGCTGGTTTCTGAATGTAGTTATAAAACTTTAATGTACATATAGCCTTCAAAGTTGAAATCCCTAGCTTATTAAACTAAATTAACAAATGGATCAGAATTCCTTTTGAGATCACCAATTATTATGCAAAAGAAACGTGGTGTTAACTATGATCTGAGCTTCCATTAGAAGTGGGTAGTGAAGTGTTAATCTATTAGTCTTCAAGACTAGAAAATAGTGCTCTCAAATAATCTTTACTCCTCATTGATTTATTTTTATAAAATACCTTTCTGCTTATTTATTTTCCAAAGTGAGGAATAACTACAGTTTCGCTTTTGGTCCATACTTAGTAGCTCTTTTTATTAGTAACAGTATTTGTAAACTATTATCTAGCACATTAAACTGATAAAGTGTTAGCTGATTTGATTATGTTTGAATCACTACTAAATTAATTGAGAATGGATTCTTCTTTTTGATTAAAAGCTGTATATTATAATGTGCTGTGGAAGATAGGCTTCCTGTCTTATTTTTATTTTGCTTACACAGAGCAGTTACTCTTGAGTGGTATTTAAGACTATGCATATTTATCTTCTGCCAGGCTTAGGGAAATTGGGTAGGTTCTTTCTGAATTTATAAGAAGATTACTTGTTCTCTAGGCCCTTTGTTAATCCATCTCTGATTATCTCTGATTTGAGACATTTTGTGAAATCCTCTTCATTTTTTTCTATCTGTAAAATCATTTGGAAAAATTTCCTTGTACTTAATAGCTGATATTTTATAAGAAAGTTTTTAATCTGATAAATCATTTAGATCTTTTGAAATTTCAGGGTGTACTGATGGTTGGACCCCCAGGAACTGGTAAGACCATGCTAGCTAAAGCTGTTGCCACTGAATGTGGCACAACGTTCTTCAACGTTTCCTCCTCTACATTGACATCCAAATATAGAGGTGAATCTGAGAAATTAGTCCGTCTGTTGTTTGAAATGGTGAGTGATGATGTATTTGGATTTCAAAGTATTTTTGGTATAAGCAATGGTATCCCTATAAATCTAGATTAGATCCACTCATTTAGGGCAGGTGTCATTATAGTTTAATAAATAGTTCTTGGCAGACTAATAAGATATGGTGTGGTGGGGTTTCTGGCATTGTCAATGTGTCTTTGATGTAGCTTCCTCCCTGAGATAAAAGAAGGCCCTTTGGCATCCTGTCCAGTGCGAGTAGAAGAGATTTTGGAAGTGTGTGTGGTGTGACTGACATTTCTGGATCTCTAATGAGCTGGTTGAGCAGAAGTGTATTTTAATATATATTTTAAAAATGAGTTAGATATTGATTTAGCATTAAAGTTAGTTTCTTTTCATAAGGTGTTTGCAATAGTTACTTAAAAATGTATATTTGAGGAAAGAGATTGATGATTTGTCTTTTAAAAGTGTTTTATATTATGGAAAGTTTCAAACAGAATAGTAGGAAGAATAGTGCTATAAATCCCCATATATTGGTCACTGAAATTCACCAACCATATATTATATATTACCTTTTATTTTTAGAAATTTACCTTTTTTTAATATGAATGATTGATTTAACCCTGTCAATAATGAAATGGTGGCATTAAAGCAGTGAGAAACTTCTCTTTTTTAACTAGGATTTTAGGAGGAAATGGCATTTTTAAAAATTCAGATTGTTTTATGAGATAATCAAATGATTTCTTTAAAATATTTTCACAAAGGCTAGATTTTATGCCCCCACTACTATCTTCATTGATGAGATAGATTCTATCTGCAGTCGAAGAGGGACCTCTGATGAGCACGAAGCAAGTCGCAGAGTCAAGTCTGAGCTACTCATTCAGATGGATGGTAACTGATGTTTAATTACTGTCTCAAAACTGTTATATTTCCTTTCTGAGCCAGTGGTTCCGTATTGTGAGAGGGTGCAGGCCTCTAGTCCTATATAATAAAGAGGTAATATGCAAATGGACCCTCAAGCCCTCATGTCACAATATGGCCACCCCTATATTGTCACAAGATGGCTGGCCCCATTATGTCACAAGATGGCTATCCCCATGTCATCACAAGATGGCCGCCCAATGTCATCACAAGATGATCACCCCACGTCATCACAAGATGGTTGTCCTCACACCATCACAAGATGGCCACCATAGCTGAAAATGGTTTGGCTCAGTGGATGGAGCGTTGGCCTGTGGACTGAAGGATCCTGGGTTCAATTCCGGTCAAGGGCATGTGCCTTGGTTGCGGGCACATCCCCAGTAGGGAGTGTGCAGGAGGCAACTGGTCAATGATTCTCTCTCATTGATAAAATACATTAAAAAAAATATATATATATATGGCCACCACAATATGTCCATCCCTACATCGTCACAAGATGGCCACCACAAGATGGCCACCCCCACATTGTCACAAGATGGCTGGCAGGGGAGGGCAGTTGGGGGCAATCGGGCTGGCAGGGGAGCAGTTAGGTATCAATCAGACCAGCAGGGGAGTAATTAGGGGGCGATCAGGCCGGCAGGCAGAAGCAGTTAAGGGCAATCAGGCAGGCAGGCAGGCAGGCAGGCAGGCAAATGGTTAGCCAGCAGTCCTGGATTGTGAGAGATGTCTGACTGCCGGTTTAGGCAGGGATTGGGCCTAAACCCACAGTTGGACATCCCCCAAGGGGTCTCAGATTGGAGAGGGTACTGGCTGGGCTGAGGGACAAATTTCATGCACCGGGCCTCTAGTCCTATATTATAATCCTATAAAATAAAAGGGGAATATGCAAATAGACCAAACAGCAGAACAAATGAACAACCAATCAAAGCATAATATGCTAATGATATGCTAAGGCTGTTCAACTACTAGCTGTGATTTTAATTCTAGAAAAAGTAGACTCTCTCATATGTTTAGTTTGCCATAAAAAAGAAACGGTATTTTCAGTAGTGACTAATTATTAGTTGATTCTTAAATTTATTGTTTATTTTTTTCTGAGTTACTTAGAAGTTTGAAGGACAAAACTATTCTAATATAATCTGCCTTTCAAAATTATTATAGTATATTAAGTAAATATGAATCCTATTCTGTTCTTCTTTCTTTCTTTCTTTCTTTCATATATTTTGTTGATTTTTTTACAGAGAGGAAGAGAGAGGGATAGAGAGTTAGAAACATCGATGGGAGAGAATCATCGATTAGCTGCCTCCTACACACCCACCATCGGGGATGTGCCCGCAATCAAGGCACATGCCCCTGACCGGAATTGAACCCGGGAGCCTTCAGTCCGCAGGTCAACGCTCTATCCACTGAGCCAAACCAGTCTCGGCTGTTCTCCTTTCTTGAAAAATATTAAATAAATTAGATTAACAACTAAAATAAAGTATTTGAAGTGAAAAATCCAAGATGTCAACAAAGTAGATAGAAGTTATACTCACCTCCTCCCAGGACCAAATCAAAATTATAACTAAACTATAGACCAATAAACCTGAATAACAGACTGAAGACTAACTGAATAGAAGTCTTATAACTACAGTTCTATATAAGAAAATATACTGAGACTTTTAGGAAATGTATAGACTCAAAATGGGCTGACCCTGAACCCATATGCAGGTGAGAATATGGAGGGCTATCTTAGCTGCATAAGTTCCTCTTGAGGAGTGAGAGCTCTCAACCCTGTGGCTGGCTTCCCAGCCTAGAGCACAAGTGCTGGGAAGAAGAACCTACATAACATCTGGCTGTGAAAATTAATGGGGATTCTGTCCAGCAGAGTGAGGTGGTAGGCTGCTAGAAACCCAGGTGACCTCATCCTCAGGCACTTATCCTGGGCACCAGCAGAGGAATGGCAGCTCAGAGTAGACTGAAGTCATACAGGGAGAGATTGGGTTCTGTGGTTTTGGGAGAAGGCTGGAGGGACATCTGCCAGCATTCCTTTATTGAATCCTTCTCCCATGCTGCTTTCAGATGTCATCATTCCTGAGTTGAGTACTTCCCTGCATAATGCTTCAGCCTGGGTGAATGCACTAGCTACACACTCGTGACTCCCTGTTGTCCAACCCTGCCAAGCTCCCACTCTCTGGAAGAATCAGCTAGCTGCACCCAGCGTGGGCTTGAGTTGCAGACTTTCTTGGGAGGCTCTTGCGGAGATTTAGGTAGACTTGGGCTGTCATAGACATTTTGCATAGGGAGAGTCTTGAGTGTAGTGGCTTCAGAGCAAGGGCCAATTTTTCCATGTGTTTGGCTGGCAACACCCCTTATTCCCTTCCTCCTACTCCCCTCCCCCTGCTGGCATCAGCCTGAATAGAAGCACTAGCTCTATTCTCCCAAGTCAGTTTGGTTACACCCTGTGAAGCCTGCACCAAGCAGGGAAATTCTGCTGGCTGTGACTAGCTTGCACCTGCATTGCACTCTTTTTTTGAAAGGTTATTAAGGAAGTAGCCCAGCCTGGTCACAGTGTCTCACATTGACCTGCACCAGAGCCCATCCAAGAGGTCCCAGAATCAACACACACGGTGGCTGACTTTGGACCAAACCAGAGAATGATCTGATTAGTTCCATAAGTGGCACACCCAAAGGGAGATCTTGGCAGGCAGAAGACATGCTGAGACAATTCCCCTTTGTGAGTCAGCCTCTACACAGCAGCTTATACACTGTTGTCGGGGCAGTCTTCACAATCAGTGAACCTCTGGGCCAGTGGATGGCCAACTGCAATCACAACTAAACTACATCAGATGAGCTTACATATCCCACACAAGGGACATTCTTGGAGCACCTAGCTTAGTTTATTGGGGAGATTGTACCACTAGGCATCTACTACATAAGGCCACCTTACCAAGACTGAGAAATAGCAATCTACCTAGTACCCAGAAACAAATACAGAGAGTCATTTAAAATGGGGAGACAGCCGAAACTGATTTGGCTCAGTGGATAGAGCATCAGCCTGCGGATGGAAGGGTCCTGGGTTTGATTCCAGTCAAGGGCATGTATATTGGTTGCAGGCACATCCCCAGTGGGGGATGTGCAAGAGGCAGCTGATCAATGTTTCTCTCTCATTTATGTTTCTAACTCTATCTCTCTCCCTTCCTATCTGTAAAAAAATCAATAAAATATATATTTAAAATGGGGAGACGAATGAACAATAGAAATCCCAAGAAAAAGAGCTAAATTAAATGGAGGCAGGCAATGTATTATACCAGATATAAAGTTTAAAGTTATGGTTATAAGGATGCTCTTCAACAAAGAGATAGCAAATATGAAAAAGGACACAGAAACCATAAAAAAGAAGCAGTCAAAAATGAAGAATACACTAGAAGGAATCAACAGCAGACTAGATGAATCAGAGTATCAAATCAGCAATTTGGAAAACAAGATGAAACAAAGGGACCCCCACCAAGACACATCATAATTAAAATGGCAAATGTTAAAGACAAAAAATCTTAAAGCAAAAAGAGAAAGACAGTTATCTACAAGGGAGCTGCAATAAGACTGTCAGGAATAATGAAAGGCAAGGACCTACAACCAAGAAAACTCTACCCAGCAAGGGTATCCTATATAATGAGAGGAATATGCTAATTATCCATTATGCCCTGAGGTGTAACGACCAACCACATAATAACCGGATCATGGATTTATAGGAGGATGGGGCAGCGAACTACAAATGGGTGGCAGAGAGCTATAGGCTGGGCAGGATAGCAAGCAGGTGGGAGGCAGAGAGCTACAAGAGGGAACAGGGCATCAAGCTATGAAGTGGGGGGGGAGGGGGCAGGAGGAGATACAAAGTGGTGGTATAAATATGTATATACTAGAGGCCCGTTGCATGAAATCATGCACTTACCACCAGGGTGCAGCTCCTGCATTGAGCGTCTGCCCGCTAGTGGTCAGTATACATCATAGCAACTGGTTGTTCTGCCGTTCGGTTGATTTGCATATTAGCCTTTTATTATATAGAATGTGTATTCACACATATTCATATATACATGTATACAATGACATATTACATGGTCATAAAAAGAATCTAATTTTACTGTTTGCAACAATATAAATGGACCTAGAGGGTCTTATGCTAAATGAAATGTCAGACAGAGGAAGATAAATATTAGATTATTTTACTTATAGGTGGAAATTAAAGACCAAAATAAATGAACAAAAGTAGAAACAGCCTCATAGATACAGAGATCAGACTGATGGTTGTCAGAGGATTGGGAGGTTGGGGGTGCTGGGTGAAAAATGTGCATATTGGTATTCACAAAATAGTCCACAGCATAGGGACTATAGTCAATAACTTTATATATATATATATATATATATATATATATATATATATATATATATACACACACACACACACACACACACACACACACACACTGTGTTTCCCCGAAAATAAGACATCCTCCGAAAATAAGACCTAGTGCATGGAAAGATAAAACATCCCCTGAAAATAAGACCTAGCACAACTTTGGGAGAAAAAATTAATATAAGACACTGTCTTATTTTTGGGGAAACAGGGTGTATATATATTAATATATGGCTAAGGGACTGTCCTACCAGTATCTATGACGCACAATGACCACTAGGGGGCAGATGCTCCAACTGGTAGCTATGATGCACACTGACCATGTTCCAGGTAACACACTTGGAACCAGAGAGGAGGGAGCCCTATTCTGGGGTACGTCACCCGAGAAGCGCCCTCTCACAATCCAGAACTCTGTGAGGGATGTTGGAAAGCCGGTTCCAGCCCAACTCTACAGGCCAGACTGAGGGACCCCACCAGTGCACGAATCTGTTTTCCAGGCCTCTAGTATTGCAATAACTCTATATACAGTGCCAGGTAGGTACTTGAAATATTGGGGAAATCACTTTGTAAAGTAAATGATTAACTAACCACTATGCTGTACACTTTAAGCTAATATAAAATTATATTGAATGTAAACTAATTGAAAAATAACATTTAAGTAAATTAGAATTTTTGAGAAACTTCGTGATTTAAAAAAATCAGAGAGGAATAAAACAGCATAATCTTTCATGCCTTTTCAGAGGAATGTGTATATATTTTCTTACAGGAAAAAAAGGTTTTTCTTATTGGATTAGAATCCTATAATAGATTATGTGAACTCTTCAGTTTCCTTTTTTATAGTTGTCTGTTGAAGTGCGTGGTCTGCCACAATCCAGAAGTCAGGATGTGTTATTTTTATCATTGAGCCTATCACCAGCCTGGGACTGATGCTTAGAGTGTTAATTGAATGAAGAAATAATGGACTTTTTCCTCTTACTGTATGTAGGTGTTGGAGGAGCTTTAGAGAATGATGATCCTTCCAAAATGGTTATGGTATTGGCTGCTACTAATTTCCCATGGGATATTGATGAAGCTTTGCGAAGAAGATTAGAGAAGAGGATTTATATACCTCTCCCAACAGGTACAATGTATTCCCTTTACAATGTTTCATTTTTTTGTTTTGCTTCCTGTTATCTTTTTTCCTCTTGTCTTTATTCCATTGACATTTTACTAAAAGAAGTTTATAGCATTACAAAACCTATTTGTAGTACATTTCAGAGCAGCTCTTACACTTAGAGCAGTATTCATATTAATAAATTGGGTAGGACATCTTAGTTTTTACTTTTAAACTTTAAGAGTCTTCATTAAACTTTAAGTGTTTAAAAATAAAGTTTCCTTGAGATAGTTTTTAAAATATTCTGCTTTAGTCTTAGTTGGTTTGGCTCAGTGAATAGAGCATCGGCCTGCAGACTGAAAGGTTCAATTCTGGTCAAGGGCATGTACGTTGCTTGCAGACACATCCCCAACAGAAGGTGTGCAGAATGCAGCTGATAGATATTTCTCTCTCTTTGATGTTTTTAACTCTCTATCCCTCTCCCTTCCTCTCTGTAAAAAAATCAATAAAATATATATATTTTTAAAAATTTAAAAAATATTCTGCTTTAGAAAAATTGCATTTTATCCTATTGATGAATACTGAAATTTTCTTAAGTGATTTTTTTTCTTTTAGATTTATATATTCAGTGAAATGTATAAATCTTTAGTGTAAGTTTGATGAGTTTTGCCAAGTGAATATACCTGTTTAATTATTATCCTACTCAAGATGTAGGACATTTCTTTTATCCCAGAAAGTTTCTTTGTACCTCCTACTAATTAATAAAAACCCTTTTAATTTCCTAATTTTTATCACCATATATTAGTTTTACCTATTATTAATCTCCATATGCACTGAGAGGCCAGATTATTATGATCTCTAAATGCATAATAATCTGGCCACTCAGTGTATATCCTATATAATAAAAGGCTAATATGCAAATTGTCCCCTCAACCAGGAGTTCGACCAGCAGGCAGACTGGCCAACCTCCCATGTCCCCTCCCCCTGGCCAGGCTGGCTGGACCCCACCCATCCACGAACTCATGCACTGGGCCTCTAATACACACACACACACACACACACACACACACACACACACACACTCATTGAGTGGCCAGATAATTATGCATTCAGAGATCATAATAATCTGGTCACTCAGCATAAATGGAATCATGACATATGTACTTGCATATGTGATTACTACTCAATATAATGTTTTTGAAATTTATCCATGTGGTTATATGTATCAGTAGTTTATCTATGATATTATTATACTAAAATTTGTTTATTTTCTTTTTGATGGACACTTGAATTATTTTGACTATTATGAATGAATCTATAAATATTCTCATACAAACATTTTAATGTATGAATGTTTTTATTTCGTTTGGCAACGTAGATAAGAATGGAATAGGTGGATCAGAGTGTAGGTATGTGCTTGATTTTGTAACACCCAGACTATTTTCCTCAGTGGTTGTACCATTTTATACTTTAATCATCAATAAATGAGATTCCAATACTTTCACATCCTTGTCAACATTTAGTATTGCTGGTATTTTAATTTTAGTCATTTTAGTTAAGTGTGAAATGTCATTTTATTATGGTTTTAAATTTGCATTTCTCTGGTGACTAATGATGTTACCTTTCTATGTTCCTGTCGATCATTGGTATATATTTTGTATAGTGTCTTTTCAAGTATTTTTGTGCAGTTTTTAATTGGTTTATTTGTCTTATTAACGAAGTATAGTTCTAATCATAGACATGCATAGATAATATTTTCTTCTACTTTGTGGTTTCCCTTTTAGTTTTCCTATGGTGTCTTTGATAAGCAGAAACTTTAATTTTTATTAAGTCTTCTTGTCAAGTTTTTATTTTTATTTTTAAAATATATTTTATTGATTTTCCACAGAGAGGAAGGGAGAGGGATAGAGAGCTAGAAACGTTGATGAGAGAGAAACATCAATCAGCTGCCTCCTGCACACCCCATACTGGGGATGTGCCTGCAACCAGTGTACATGCTCTTGACCGGAATTGAACCTGGGACCTTTCAATCCGCAGACCAATGCTCTATCCACTGAGCCAAACCGGTTTTGGCAAGTTTTTCTTTTTCCATAGTGCTTTTTGTGTCTTAAGAGTCTTTGCTTACCTAAGGGTCAAAGGTTTTCTTCTTCATGATGTCTAAGGTCAGGAATGAGAACATTTAGTGGCTGAGGTGACCCCTCATCTGGAGCCTGGCATCATCTGGAATGCTGTTACCCACATGCCTGGTGGTTGAGGCCTAGGGCCTCAGCTTGAGTACCTCCATGTTACCTGTGGACAGTCAGATTTCATACATGGTAGCTCAGAGCTCCAGGTGTGATTATTACAGTGGAAAAGTTGCAAGGTGAATTATTAGGACCTAGACTTGAGGTCATGATTGCTATTTCTGCCTTATTCTGGTGGAAGTATTTACAAGCCCAGCTATTTTCAGGAGGAAGGGAATTAGACTGCCTTTGGGTGAGAGAGAGGCAAGGCCCCATTGTTGGATCATGTGTGAGATGAAAGAAACTCTGCGCTCATCTTGTTAAATTCAATTTTCCATGATCAGGAAAGGAAAGAAGTCAAGTAACAGGATGGGTGGAGCTTGGTCTTATAATAAATCTCCTCTTAGTTCTTGCATCTAAAAATGGCAGTGTTGCCAAAACCGGTTTGGCTCAGTGGATAGAGCGTCGGCCTGCGGACTGAAGGGTCCCCGGTTCGATTCTGGTCAAGGGCATGTACGTTGGTTGCGGGCACATCCCCAGTAGGGGGTGTGCAAGAGGCAGCTGATCGATGTTTCTCTCTCATCGATGTTTCTGACTTTCTATCCCTCTTCCTTCCTTCTGTGGAAAATCAATAAAATATAAAATAAAATAAAATAAAATAAAATAAAATAAAATAAAATAAAATAAAATAAAATAAAATAAAATAAAATAAAATAAAGTAAAATAAAAATGGCAGTGTCCCAGCCTAGTGGACTCCTTTCTCCAGGCCCCTCTAATTCTATTTTCTTTAGACCTCCTTAATCATCAAGGTATCATTTCCCCTGCACTCTCAGTAACTCTCATCTCCTTTATTTATTTATTTTTTTTTTTAAGGTTTTGGTTTTGTTTTGCTAAGAGTGTGTGTGTGTGTGTGTGTGTGTGTGTGTGTGTGTTTGCTTGTTTTTACTGCAAGTTTCTTTCTTTCTTTTTCTGAGTACTTACCATGTACTAGGCACTATTCTATGTTTTGTTTTTGTGCCATACATTTAGTTTTTAAATTTTTATTTTATTTAAAGTATCACAAATAGTAGCACATATGTCTCCTTTTCCCCCCCGATTGACCTTCCCCCAGCTTCCTTTACCCCTGAAACATGCCATCACTCCACCATGCTAGTGTTTTGCGTCCATTGGTTATGCTTATATATATGCATACAATCCTTTGGTTGATTTCTTACCTCCTGCCCCTCTAACCCTCCCCAGCCTTCCCACTGTAATTTAACAGTCTATTTGATGCTTCTCTGCCTCTGTATTTATCTTTTGGTTCATCAGGTTATAATGTTCTTTTTTATCCATAAATGTGTGAGGTCATGTAGTATTTTTCTTTTACTGACTGGCTTATTTCACTTAGCATAATGCTCTCCAGTTGCATCCATGCTGATGCAAATGGTAAGAATTCTTTCTTTTTTATAGCAGCGTAGTGTTCCATTGGGTAGATGTTCTATAGTTTTTTAATCTACTCATCTGCTGATGAGCATTTAGACTGTTGGCAAATATTAGTTATTGTAAACTGTGCTACTATGAATATAGTGGTACATATATCCTTTCTGATTGGTGTTTCTGTTTTCTTGGGATATATTCTTAGAAGTGGGATTACTGGGTCAAATGGGAGTTCCATTTTTAAATTTTTGAGGAAGTGCCATACTGTTCTCCACAGTGGCTGCACCAGTCTGCATTCCCACCAGCAGTGAAGGAGGGTTCCTTTTTCTCAGTATCCTCTTCAGCACTTATTGTTTGTTATTGTGTTGATGATAGCCATTCTGACAGGTGTGAGGTGGTACCTCATAATTGCTTTGATTTGCATCTCTCAGATAATTAGTGATTTTGAGCATGTTTTCATATGTCTCTTGGCTTTCTGAAAGTCCTCCTTCGAAAATGTCTTTAGGTGCTTTGCCCATTTTTTTTTTTTATTGGATTGTTTATCTTCCCTTGTTAAGTTGTATGAGTTTCCTGTAAATGTTGGAGATTAAACCCTTATCAGAGATAACATTGGCAAATATGTTCTCCAATGCAGTGGGCTTTCTTGTTGTTTTGTTGATGGTTTCTTTTGCCTTGCAGAAACTTTTTATTTTGATGCAGTCCATTTGTTTATTTTCCCTTAGTCTCTCTTGCCTTAGGATCTCTTTCTGTAAAGATATTGCTACAACATTTGCCTGCAATTTTGCTGCCTTTGGAGTCTTGTAGGATTTTTATGGTTTCCCATCTTACATTCAAGTCCTTTAGTAATTTTGAGTTTGTTTTTGTGTATGGTGTAAGTTGGTGATCTAGTTTCATTTTTTTTTTTTTTGCATGTATCTGACCAAATTTCCCAGCACCATTTATTGAAGAGACTGTTTTGACCCCATTGTATGATCTTGCCTCCTTTGCCAAATATTAATTGAGTATAATGGCTTGGGTCAATTTCTGGGTTCTCTATTCTGTTACATTGTTGTATATTTCTGTTCTTGTGCCAGTATCAGGCAGTTTTGAGAACTGTGGTTTGGTAATATAGCTTTATATCTGGTATTGTGATCCCTCCAATTTTGTTCTTCTTTCTCAGGATAGCAGTGACTATTTGGGGTCTTTTTTTTTTTTTATTCCAGATGAATTTTTGGAGAGTTTGTTCTATATCTTTGAAATATGCCATTGGCATTTTAATAGGTATTGCATTGAATCTATAGATTGCATTAAGTAGTATGGACATTTTAATGATGTTGATTTTACCAAACCATGAACATGGTATGTTCTTCCATTTGTTTATGTCTTCCTCTCTGTCCTTTTCCAATGTCC